GCGAGGCTCGTGTCTACCTGTCGGCTGTGGGCCCCTCCCTCAGGCTGCTGGACTTCCTCCAGGTCCCAGGAAGAGAGGCTGCAGAGTGGGCCCAAGCTGGCTGGGCCCCGCTGGCCCTTCCGCAGGGCTCAAGCTCGGTTAGGTGGGGCAACCAGGCTGGGAGTATGGGGCTACTGGGTCCCCCACTTGGGGGCAGTGTGGACTGGCACGCAACGGGGAGAATGTGGCCCCTGCTCCAGGGCCACACCATTTGCTCGCAGCTGGAGTCTCCAACTCGAGCTCCACGGGAGAAACGCGCCACAGGCTCAGGTCGGGTGCCGCCAGCGGTCCACTGCACGGGCAGGCCCGGCGGAGCAAGGCCGCCAGGACTTGGGCAGACAGACCAGGAAAGCCTTCTGCTGCGGGTGGCACTGGCTGGGCGTGGAGGGGAGGAAGCTGCAGCGCTCCCTTTAGCTCTGTGGCGACGCTTGCTCCAGCCGCACTGGAGACTCTGAGGGAGCGGGACTCGAGTGTCCCAGCTGGGAGTGGCGCCTCCTCCCAACGGTGGGACTGCGCCCAGGAGGGCGGGGAGAGCGGGGCTTACAGGACCAGAGGAAGGCAGCCCTGCGCTGGGGCGGCGCTGGCCCCGGGAGGGCAGCAAGCTGTGCGCCTGCACTGAGCGCTGCCCGCAATCGCCCGAGACCCGGACAAGGGGGTCCTCCGCCGCGGCGGCGCCTGCAGAGCCCGCAGGAGGCGGTGGAGACTGGCCCGTGTTCCAAAGGCTCCCAGTTCAATGACCATCTGAGGGTTCAGCTAGACTTTCTCCAAAGGGCGCACCTTGGGCTCCGGTCACGTGCAGCCAGCCGTCCTTTCTGCCGGACTTGACCTTGGCGGGGCAGCAGAGCCGGCGTCTGCAGGGCCGAGCGCGCGGCCGCGTGCCGCGTGCCGGTGCTGAGTGCAGGAGCGCCTGGCCTGGAAGACACGCCGGCAGGGGCGGGGAGGGGCGTGCTGCCCCTCCAGATCCCTCGCCAGAGCCTGCCCCCCCCAACCCGCGTGGCTCCCGTGCACCCGAGTCACCTTCCCTCGGCCGGCGCCCTGGACGAGCGCCTGCGGGTGAGGCCTGCACGTCGTCCTGGAGGAGGACGCCGGGGCTTCCAGCCACCGCCCCTCTTCCCGCGGACAGTGGGCCTGCTGCTATGCAGGCTCCTCTTCCCGGCCCCGGTGCTCTGGTTTGGGGTGAGGCCCCACAGTCCACAGGGAGCACTTCTGCTGCCACGATGGCCCTCCGGCCTCCCGGCTGCAGCACCACAACGCAGGGAGCAGCCCCCTGCGTGTCTCCGCCCTTTTTACCCGTTTCCGGGCAGCTTCCTGCGTAAATCCGGGGACACAGTAGTCTTGTTTGGCCGCCCTTCGGTGGGTCGCTCAGGCTGAATGCTCTCCATTCAGCTGTGCGTCTGGTCTGTCTCAGGAGGAGGTGTGAGCAGCTTCCACCTACTCCGCAGCTGTCTTCGCCCCCCCGCCGCGCCCCCCGCCCCGCCGGCCATTTCTGAACACTGTTCTCATGAGCGTTGTCTTACAGGCTCGTTTCACAGCCTAATCGCCCGGAAACAGAAGCCACCTCCCCTGCCCGGGCAATCCCCAGAACTGTCTGGGACTGTCTCCAATAGCATGCATCTGACATTTTGTTTTCATGAGGCTTCAGATGTCAGCCAGAGAGGACTTTTACAAAAGGCGGCAAGTCCTGTGATGCAGGCAGTGATACATAAATGGCAAGTTAGTTTCGTAGAAAACATGCAGAAGAAAACAGCTGTTAGGACAATCTTTGACTAGCGTGGAAAGTATCTCTCAGTAGCATTCTGTGGATCAGAATTCTGTGTTTTAAAAATAATCAAGTGGCAACTGTGCAGAATATTGCTAAATAGACCAAATACAGCATTATTTCAACGGAAAACATGTAAGCACAGACCGCATGTGTTATTTTGCTGTGTACACCTCCCGAAGGGTGTGGCATCTAGCTGAGAAACCAAAAAACAACAGCCAAAGAAATGAGAAAACCCACACACACAATGAATGCTATATGCAAATATATTTAACACACGTGAAAACATATTCATCTGTGCAGTTCTGTCATGTGAGCACTGAATGAGTCGGGAAATCCAGAGGAAAAAAAGCAAGCCACCTGGGAACCCTGGGAAGGGAGCAGGACAGGAGACCGGCCTTCGGGCGTGCGAGACCTCACGTGACGGTCAGGTGAGGACAAAACACCGGTCACACGTGGGGGTGGAAACTACAGCAGCAGGGGTGCACGCGGCTTGTGCGAGGACACCCCCGTGAGCAGACGGGGCGAGTGGACAGAGGGACCCGCAGGCGGGCTCGAGCCAGAGGCCTAGGAAGGTGGCGGAAGCCAGATGGCGGCGAATGTCGAGTATCAAAGGGGTCTGGACCGCGGTCTTTAAGTAAACAAGGTTTTGAGCTATGCAGCTCCATACGCAGTTGCTGGTTTGAGAACAGTTTTCCAGGGTCTATGAAATAGATCAAGTGGGAGAATAGAGGCAGAAAAAACAAAAAAATTAGGCAAAAAGAAACTTGCTGACACCTCAGCTAACAAAATATTCTAAAACTTTATGATACAGAGACATTGTGCTCAGCTATTCCACGTTCTGTCCACCTACCACTTAACACGCTGATACTCAAGCCCCATGAGCAAACACGGTTCCCACTGTAAAGTGTGAGCTTGGTGTTTCCAGTAAGCTAATCAACTCTTTTACAACTACTAAATCCCTACAGACACTGCATTTTGACCTTAAAAACTCTTCAGAAATGGGTGTAGTTACCCTGAGTTTTTCAGCTGCTAAGTGTCTGTATTTCCATGGGTTGGAAGGAGCAAAATGCAGCTGAATGGACCATGGAAATAAAAACAGTGCATTTCCAAGGCCTTTATTTTCAACAGAGGAAAATATTTGTTTCACTATAGATGTGCGTATTCCATAGGTTTGTCACACTATGCTGTTCGGATCACAGTAAAGTTTTATTTCACAGCATAATCTCATACAGATCGTGAACTGAAAAGCGCTGACCCCATAAGCAGGTATTACAAACAGTAACAAACAGCCGTGGGGTGAGGGAGGGGTTTGAAGAGAAGCTGCAATTTCAAAGGCCTGGGTCTCAAATTTTCAAAAATATCCCCCGTCTGAGGCCCGTAGCTTTGCCAATCAGTAAACATCACTGAACTCGGATGGCTCATCACATCGCCTTTGAGAATTTATGTATCTGCTCTGCCAAAGACCGGAACTACTAAGGTTTTATAAGTTTAATTACAATTCCCTTTGTCTTCAGAATGTCAAAATGCAAAAATAAAAAGTAGAACTCACTCTTGAAAATTACGTGTGTAGGAGCAACAACTCAAAGGGCGGCTACTAACTGGTGAAATAGCGGGTAAAATCTGCAATTTTATACACGTTTTATGCTGACTGGCATGAGAGAGCACATGCGCCCAAAGTAAAGGAAGCCTCTGTCACTCTTGCCTTCCCCTGCAGATCAGAGTGGCCGGTGGCCGGGCCTGGTGACACTCCCTGCCAGCGGAAACTCCTGCCTGGACAGTCAGACTCATCAAGAGACCTCTTGTACTCAGCAAGCCCACTTTTTATTAACTAATGCTAATCAAATGTGTGAATCACAGTTACGGGCCAGGCACTGCTCTGGACCGTTTCCTCGTGTGATCTCATTTAGGCCTCGCAGCCCTACAGGGAGGGGGCGCTCTTGCCCCCGTTCCCAGGGGTAATTCTCCAGTTTAGAGCAGGAACCGAGGCAGTTGGTGGGGTCAGCGCCCCAAGGTCAACGCCCTGTCCCAGTGTTTCTGTGATGGCAGCTCACGAGCACCCGGGAAGACAGGTGTCCTAAGATTGCAGGGGGCCTTCTTTTTTTTTTACATTATTAACCTTGTATTGCAAAGAGCAGCAGCAATGATTTAAAGAAATGACTGATTTAAACATAAAAAACAGACCAAAAAAATCTGACAAGTAGTGTAACTTACATTTTAAAGGGCTACACATAGTTTTGCTATTTGCTTTTAAGTGAGATGGTAAGGGATGGAGTAGCTAGTTTACAGCAGCTATTAAACCATAAGAACTGTAAGTGCTGAACGAGAGCTGGTGCTATAAATACACTATAAAAAATAAAAACAAAAGGTTATGATGACAATAACAGTAAGGCACTTTCAGAGGAAAAAAACACCAGCAAAAGTTTTCTCCCCTTATTTTTCATCATAAATTTTGAGAAAATAATTTTCATTGTTCTGAGAAAGAACTAATGGTCCTCAAATGTATAAGCATTGGACCCTTGTTACTTGCTTTGTTTTCCTTACAAGATTTCCGAGTCACTTAGGGTCAAACGTGACTATGGGTTATAGGAGTCAAAGAATTTGATCCATAAAGATCATCAAGAACTGGCGAATTGAGGGCTGAGGATCAGGACCGGTTCCCCGCGAGGAGACCTGAGGTCACACCCGGCGCTTCATGGAAGCAGGGTGCACGGAAAAGGGGGGAGGAACGGAACGTGAAGGAATAAAAGGTAACGTGTGTTTTCCGACCAGGGCGGGATGTGAGGGTTTGGAGGAAAGCCGGGCTTCCCCGGGAGGGAAACGACGCTCCGGAACCCCGAGTTTGCACAACGAGCTGCACACGCCCGGGGAGGCGACGGCACCGAGGGGGCGGGTCTGCACGGAGCTGACTGTGTGGGGGACGCACAGCGCGGAAACGTCAGCTGCGGGGCGACACGGAGAGGACAGACGGGGCCTTGGCCAGAGGCGGCCATGAGCTGCCCCGGGGCCGAGGGTCCCCAGGACGGCGGAGGGGGCGATGTTCGGAGGCGGCGCAGCGGGCGGAACCCACCCCGTAGACGCGGGCGCAGCGAGGGCGGGGGGGGGGGGGCGGGTTGACCACGCTCAGGGGTCCCCATCGGGCGCGCCCACGGCCCTGTCCCCCAAAGAAGCGAGCACCTCGGCTGCCACGCCCTGTCCCTACCTGCGCGCCAAACGTCCCAGTCCCCACCTGGAGCGCGGACCACCGCCGTGTCCCTGTCCCCACCCGACCGCAGCGACGCGTCCGGGTTTATTGCCGGAAGTCGCTGCGGAGAGCTCCGCCCCGGCCGCGCTGATTGGCGGTGCGGCCCGCGTGACCGTGTCATGGTCCGGGCCGCGGCTGCGGGCAGGCGCAACGGACGCCCTCCTAGCCCCGCCCCGCGTGCGCTGCGCGCCGCCTGGGGAGCCCGGAGCTGGACCGCTTTGGGCGGGGGTCCGTGTAAGACATTTACAACAACAAAGGGTAATGTCGCCGGTTTTCAATATTTCCTGACAAAGGCACTTACATGTTAGAATAAGCTGGTTTGGAATACCAGAGTATTTGAAACAATGGGGTATTGGAAAAATGTTGAGAAACATGCAAAAGAGCAAAGAGAAACAGTAAAAAAAACAAGCATACAAGTGAATATACGCAGAGCCGAAAAAAGCGCAACAGAGACCGCTCTTGACAGTGTTTACCACCTGCCTTCACACGAGGCGCACCGTGCGGAGAGTAGCACTGGAAATAAACTAAACAATACAAAAGGGGTACAGACAAAGCAGAGACTGGGAATTGCTTTTAATTACATGAGAAGTTATAAGGTAACGGCGCTGAAAGACGACACCCGTCTCAGTGGGCAGCAGGGTCCCATGTTCACGGAAGGAAGGACGTGGTCACATGGGCAGCGCCACACTGACATCTGGTGGCCCGTTGGTGTGAAGACAGAGGCCTTAAAATCTTGTTACTTGAAAGGCCCTTAAGTAATGAAGGAAAGTCATATTAGAATTTGTTTTAGAAGCCACCTAAAGCAGGCATAGCTCGTGAACCCACGAAATAAAAAAATGCTCGACTACATGGGTCTATGCCTGTAGACACACGTGTACACGCATGCACAGGCAGAGACTTGGACGTGTGTCGTCTGTCTGTGTGACGCAGAAAGGAAAGACGAGTGATGAGGAAATAGCAGTCTCTTCAGCCTGAGAGCAGGAGAAGGAACGAGACGTCCTGCTGGACGCGCCGATGAATGGTGAAGCACAGCCGCAAATGACAACCGCGCAGGGTTCTGCGCCTGCTGGGTGGCAGCCGGGCGTGTAGATGCACTGTGGGAGGGAACCTGAAACTCAGCCGCCGTGTGCGGTTCGGCGCGCCACGGGGACCACCGGGGGAGATCAGAAGACGGGGCGGCCCCTGGCCAAGCACACAGCGGGCACAGCAGCCCGTGGAGACCGCGGAGCAAAGCAACGAGCGTCACCACGCCCAGCCGGCGTGCAGGTTCGGGAAGGGGGGCAAGGACTGGGTCTACCCGCCGGTGCGCACGGCCTCAGGGCTGGCCTGGGCGAAGTGCAGACGCGGGAGGCAGGAGAGGGAAGCCCACACCCACTGAATGCAACATTTGGGCTAAGAGATCGTCCGACAAACGTACATGACCAGGGGTGGCTGTGTTCGTTAATGCAGGTGGGAGCGCGGGAGCGGAGTGTTGGACGTTGAACTTCTCCAGGAGGCCCGTGTTGCTTTGTTTCGCAGTGGCTTTTTCTTATCCGGTAGGCATTATGATGTCTTACCTGAGATTATCATGGGAACAAAAGACTGATGTCTTCAACCCACCCCCCAGGCCATCTCTGCCTCACTTGCTGGGAGGCACCGTGGGGACCCGGGAGCAGCAGTGTCTACTGGGGGCCTCTTTCAGCCTCTTCAGTAAAACAGACGCTCTTTGGGGATAGAGAATGCCACTCATTGTTCTGTAATGAGAATGACTAACAACAATGGTGGCAATAATGTCATCATGAAGATTAACAAGAGCAACGGGTAATGGGGAAGCTAAAAATAACCCTAAGTGCAGAGGAGCAGAGATCAGGCCCTGCCAGTGACAGACCAAGTGCCGGTACCAGGACTCAGAGCCCATGTTACCTGAGGGCAAAGGACAGGCAGGAAGAGGGAAAAGGAAACCACTTGCAAGATGGGGTGCAGGGGGGTGGGGAGCAGGAGACCCAGGTCCAGAGCCTTTCCGGCCCCTCCCCACCTCCGAGGGCCCAGGCACCCCCTCCCAATTCCCCCAGAAGCTGATGTGGGGAAGCTCCAGCCCTGTGCCCTTGCAGCTTGATTCCAGCCCCAACTGGAGATCAAACCCACAACCCAGGCATGTGCCCCGACTGAGAATCAAACCCAGGACCTTTCGGTTTACACGATGACACTCCAACTGACCGAGCCCCACCAACCAGGGCAGGGCATGACCCTCCACAACGAGATCAGTGCAGAGGACAGTAAATATGTAAATGAGTAAAACAGGAAACTGTGCACGTGATGATGCCCTGCGCGGGCCTGGGGGGCTGCGGAGGTGGTGATGGGGCAGGGGCAGCACCGGCTGCCCCCAGCCCAGAGGCCCGGCCCCAGCCCCTGCCACACAGCCAGCACCCAGGCCAGCCTCTGATCTCTCCAACTGGTCCAGCAGAGCTGCGGGTGACGACTCTTAAACGTTCGTTCCATTTACAGCTGGAGTTCCACCAGGTCAGTCCACTAAGTTTGTCAAGGAAGCACTATGTGTATGGATTCTCTCCGTTACGGGTCCTGCCGTGTGGGGCTGGCGAGCTGTCCACTAAACGAGAGGTCAGCTGGCTTCACTCTAGCCCACTGTACAAGGCTTACCAATGTCCAAAGCTTTCTACCCAAATGGTACCTTGATATGTAAATTTTACCGGTGTTTTTTTATTTCCCCATTAACTTCACCTCCCACACCCATCCCACGAAGACGCACGCCTGTGCTACATTCTGACGCCAGGGACCTCAGGGGTAAATGTGTCTGCTGGACTCTGTCGGTCCTACCACATCGACTAAGTCACTGAATTGATCGACCACATCATACAGCTGGTTCTGATGTTGCTTCCTTGAAAACCAAACCTACGCGGGGCCAGTCTAAGAATCAGAGCCATTGGCAGCAGCAGTGTGGAAGGAAAAGAGCCCCATGCTAAGCCTGAAGGCTCGGGGGGCCTGCGGGGTGGCCTTCCAGACTCGGGACCTCCAGTAGCCTCACAGGAGGGTCTGAAATGAAACCTAACTAAAAGCAGTTTGCGGCAGGTAGTCATACCCTAGGCTCACTTGTAAACAACATTTTACCATTTTTCATGGAATGTTTTCAGCATAGACTATCTGCTAATCCCCAAGAGTCGTCGCCCTCCGGATAGTGGATGTTTTCCACTTCTTGATCCCGCAGTTACCTGACGCTGAGCTTTCCGGTGCACACCGAGCAGTGCTCAGTGAGACGGACCCAGTTCCTCTCCTGTGCGGTTCACTAACTTGTTTCAGGATAAATCGTGAGTCGAGTTAGCTCTGCGCTGACGAGATACACAGAACTTCTCTGACATGGACTCTCTCCACTTTCCCCCCAGTCACCCGTGGGTTCGGTTGGTTAACTAAACCTTTGATCTTGCTGCGGGGTCCCCGATTCAGGTTCCTGCCCTGTGGCTTCTGAGCGAAGACACAGCAAGGAGCCTGCGAAAACACCTGGGCAGGCACCGCCGGCAGCCACTGGGGGCCTGACTCGCGCCCGCTGGCTTGCGCTGCACGGAGGCAGAGTCCCTGACCTGCTCTCGCCGCTGCCGCCCTAGTCCTGTCTAGTCCTGGCTGAGACCCAGGGCTGGGCTGGGCGATTCTCATCCCAGAGTCGGCATTCAGATCTCACTGCTGGTTAGAAAAAGGTGCTGGTTCCTGACTGGGACCCACTCCCGGGCGAGACCCTGCTTGCAGGGAACGGTGGTCACATGGGATGGTGGTGGCCGCAGCCAGGCTCTGCCACTCGCGTTGGCTCTGGCTCTCGGCTGGAGCACGGGCTTTGGATAGGACCCCGGGGGTGGGTCGTCCCCACGTCGAACATGGAGCTGGCTGGCGTCGCGCCCTGATGCAGTCAAAAGGGCCCCTCATGGTGCTCCAGAATCCCTGCCGCAGCGCCTGCCCCCACGGGCGTGGGGACCGCGGCTCCGGCCAGCAGTGTCTCGTCGCCAGGGCCTGAGCCCAGTCTTGCCGTACCAGCGGCCTGTGGGCTTGACCCTCCCACGGCCGGCCCTCCCACCCACGTCCCGCTGCAGCCCCGCAGCCTGCGGCACGGCTCCCCAGGACTCTGCCCGGCCCCAGCCCCTGCCACACAGACAGTGCCCGGCCCCTCTAACTCTGATCTCTCCAGCTGGTCTAACAGAGCTGTGGGTGACGACTCTTACACATCCGTTCCATGTACAGCTGGAGTTCCACCAGGTCAGTCCACTGTCTAAAGAATTTGTCAAGGAGACACTATGCGTGTGGATCCTCTCTGTTATGGGTTAACTTCAACGGAATGAAATAAGGATGAATAAGGGCTCTTCCAGACTGACTACAAACACAGCTTGTTTTTACAACTGTGTGAGTCCTCAAGAGTGTTTAGAGTTTGAAAGCATGGGTGGTGAGTCTTCCACATTTATAACCCTTACAGCGTGGGTCCTGCCATGTTGTCTAAGGTTAAAATATTTGCTGAAGGCTTTTCCACACAGGTAACATTTGTATGGCTTCTCCCCGGTGTGGATTCTCTGGTGCAGTCCGAAGTTGTAGCTTCTGTTGAAGGCCTTGCCACACACGTTGCACTCATAGGGCTTCTCGCCGGTGTGCGTCCTCTCGTGCCGTCTGAGGACAGAAGAGTGATTGAAGGCCTTCCCACACAGGTGACACCCGTACGGCTTCTCGCCGGTGTGCGTCCTCTCGTGCCGTCTGAGGACGGACGAATCAGCGAAGGCTTTCCAACAGGACCGGCACGCGTAGGGCTTCTCCCCGGTGTGCGTCCTCTCGTGCCGCCTGAGGACGGAAGAGTCGGAGAAGGCTTTCCCACACTGACGGCACACGTAGGGCTTCTCTCCGGTGTGGATCCTCTCGTGCTTCCGCAGGTGGGAACAGTGGGTGAAGGCCTTCCCGCACCGGGGACACTCATGGGGCTTCTCTCGGTCGTGAGTTCGCTCGTGTTGCCTCAGGTAGGAAGCTTTGCTGAAGGCTTTCCCACACAGACGGCACGCGTAGGGCTTCTCCCCGAAGTGCGTCCTCTCGTGCTTCCGCAGGTCGGAACAGTGGGAGAAGGCCTTCCCGCACAGGCGGCAGCCGTGCGGCTTCTCTCGCGTGTGAATCGCCTCGTGCCGTCTCAGGTTGTAGCTTTTACTGAAGGCTTTCCCACACAGACGGCACGCGTAGGGCTTCTCCCCGAAGTGCGTCCTCTCGTGCTTCCGCAGGTCGGAACAGTGGGTGAAGGCCTTCCCGCACAGGCGGCAGCCGTGCGGCTTCTCTCCCGTGTGAATCATCTCGTGCCGCCTGCGGTTCGCGGTGTTGCTGAAGGCTTTCCCACACACGTGACATTCAAACGTCTTCTCTCCGTCCTGAGTGCTGTTGTGTTGCCTCATGGCAGGGCGCTGAGTCAAAGCGCTCCCGCGCGGACATTCGTTCAACTTACTTCTGGTGTCAACTTGTTTATCTTGACTAAAGTACCTGAGCACTTGTCTAAGTTCGTGGATGATATGGGGTTTCTTTCCCATGTGAGGTGTCATACACTGAGTCAATGTTAAGAGTTCAGTAAAATTTTCTCCCAAATCATCACATTCAGAAGGGTCTTCTTGAGCACGAAGTCTCTGTTTTTTGAAAGAAAATGAGCCACTGTTAGAGGTGTAGCCACATTTATTCATTCCTTCATTCACTTCTCTATATATAAATATAAATTCTAGAGTAATCATTCAGTGACCGACTCCAGTTAAAATTGTCCCTATTACTTACACAAACATGGTGATATTACTCTCCCACGTACAGAGATTTCCTCTTTTGCAGCATCCTAACAGTAGATATGTGATTAACGTTTAGACAGACATTAGGTTTCCAAGATTGGGCACACGAGCCAGGATTATACAATTGGTCACAAGACCTGAGGTGTAATTTTGACTTCAGGTGAAATTTCTTCCCTAAAACCAAGCTACCCAGAACTTTCTACCGTGAAAGCCCTGGATCCCAACTCTAATTAGTCAGGGAACTGTGCCAGGCCTACGGCTTATTCAGTTCCCCAGTCAGTGTCCGGAAGAGCAGGACCGCGCATGCGGAGCTTACCGCGGCGCCGATTCGGGACGTGTCCTCTGTGCAGGAAGGTCGCGTCGATGTCACTTCCTGTTGTTTAAAATCACCTCTCCTGTCTGAAACGACGAGAAAGAAAATAGATCGGCGTCAGGGGGATTAAGATGGTGAAGGGACCCGACACCCCCCGGAGCGTGTTTACAATATTAACGGGGGTGGGAAGGCATGGGAAATGAGGGACGCTTTAAGGAGAAACACATTACAGACGCCACCAACCGACAGTTTCTGATCTAGAATTTGAGAAAAATAAAAGGAAGACGGCAACTTGGGGAGGGAAAGAGAGAGAACATTTTCACTGAATAGGTCCACAAAAAGGGACATTTTGTGGATTAAAAGAATAAAAAACATCACTTTCATTGACCAGTCAGGGATACAATGGGCAGTTTCACAAACAACAGAATGAGATGGTCCCGGGACAACGGAGTGTAAAATGACAGCAGACAAGTTACCACTGTGGAACCCCGGGGCGGGGGTGGTAAACAGAGAACTCCTGTGAGCACGTGAACATGGCCTTCGCTCGAGCCACAGACGACCAGGGGCCCTTGAATAGAAGTTAATACCTGCAAGGTCCAATGACATCTGAAGAATCTGTCCCCCATGTTTTACAAACACGACTAAACTGAAACATCCTTATGGGATCATCGGCAGACCCCGTCCCTCCCGGACCAGGCCCGTCCCCCTCCCTCTGGGCGCTCACCTGCACTCAGGCCTCGCAGAGCGCCCATCCCTCCTCCTGACAGCTGCTCGCCCTTCCAGTGGGAAATCACATCGGATTCGCAGAGCCAACTGCCTGTTTGCAGAAAAATGACATGTGGACTTTGAGGTCTGTGTGAGTAATAGTCCACGATCATCAGCACAGGTCAAGTCATGAGAAAGAGGAAGTTCCCCTCAGGTCAGCCCAGGGAAGACTGTTGACAACAGCGTGGACAGGTCTTGCCCAGCAAACTGATGGCTCTTGAACTTGTTCCAGACAAGTTCAGGACCTACCCCTGTGGGTGCCCATGCCCAAGTTCAAGATGGACTGCAGAGCCATCAAGATTTTCATTCAGTGAAAAAATACAAGTTTTTTTCACTATTATAGCAAAAAAAAAAAAAAAAAAAAAAAAAAAAAATTCCAACAAATACAACCTCTACCAGAAAAAAAAGAAAAGCTAACTTCTATGTGGAAAACAAAATGTCTTGTTATTTTTAATACTGTGTTCTGGTCTAACCACAGTCCCCGCAGCAAAGTAATAACTTTTTTTAAAAAAATCAACACCTTTACTTACCCATTCAACAACGGGGAGTAATGAGACACTCACCGGTCGAGACCAGGTGGCTGATGCTCTCCAGCATCACGTCTGTGAACAGCCTCCTCTGGGAGGTGTCCAGCAGGGCCCACTCCTCCCGGGTGAAGTCCACAGCCACGTCCTTGAAGGACACAGCTTCCTAGAACAGCACGGGCACCGCTTCAGACAGGGCTGTGCCGCCTGCCTTTGGGGAGGGTGGCACAGGTGGGGACAGCCCTGAGGAGGTGGCAGCTGAGTGTACCGAAAGGTCAGGCAGCATTTCGGGTGCAGTCACGCCGTTCTCGTTGCTGACCTGGAAACCTGACTTGCAGATATACCCACAGAGACAGACACAGTGTAAGTGCATAAAACTTCCTTATAAAGAAATAGCACATGAGGTGTGGTGTACTCTACCCTGGATCCCAATACATGACTCCAAGTCTTGATTACAAAATTTGCACTTGAAAATTTATAATTAAAACACTCCTTTCCACCGTTGAGGAAATCTGCAAAGTTACCACAAGGAACCCAGACCCATCATTGGCCACTTTTCCACCAGGACCGTGGCCCGATTATCCTCGTTCAACAGTTGTCGTGAATTTCTGAAGACCCAGTGAGCAGGAGCACAGCGGTAGCTCTAGCAAACACCGTGAGACACAGGCTCTGCGCTTACCCTTCAGGGATGGATCGGGCTCATGGGAGCACTGTCCGAACTCCGCAGAACCGAGCACAGGCCCTAGTGTCCTGGGTCAGCACCTGCGGCCTCTCATCCCCGCGCAGCCGGACGTTCGCGGCGAAGCACAGCGATGACTGCCCGGCAGCGCAGGCCGGCCTGAGCCTTCTGTGCCGCAGGGCTCTCTGGGGCCCGCGCCCTCTCTGCTCACTTTTTCCAGGACCTTCGAATGTCAGTTGTCATCGCCTCTTTTGCTTCCTCGTCTCGTCTTTCTTTCCGAGCACACCTGACGCCGCGGCTATTCTGGCCTCTTCGGTTCATCAAAAATTCCCACAAGTCCTTCAGTTTTACTCTCCCTTCTCTGCTCCTCCGTACAACCACAGTTAAGGAAACAAACCCCCTATGCATTGCTTCCGCTTAATCACATTTGGAGAAAGGGGAAATCACAAACAGAAAACGCACGATTTGGGACATAGGTAATAATGAGAATTTCAGTTTTCCTTTTTAGATTTCCAAAAGCACAAATATAGTCAATCAAAACTTTAGGAGGTTTGAAATTGGAAAATGTAAGTGAATGACTCTTGCTGTGTTTTCTGGCACAATCACCATGTCACTACGCCTGTCGTCTCTCCCCTGACCTACACTCCCCTCTCCCGTCCCCCCCCCCCCCCCGCCTCCCCCGCCCCGCCCCCGCGGTAACGCGGGGGTCAGAGCTCACTTGTGGGAACAGCTGGCTCCCTTTCCGGCCATAATATTGTGCCCCTTCCTCAATCCTAAGGCCATTACAGTTAATAATATGGTTAATGTGCAATTTATTTTTTCCTAACAAGGCCAGGAATGAGATGAGAGAAATGGAACCTTTCTCATCTCTTCTGTGGACGCATAGCATTAACAGAGACTGGCACATCTCAGCGTGATGCCAGGAAGGAGCCCACCACGGAACATGTCCGTGGCCCACGCGACCGTCCAGAGCTGTGGGGACACTGAGCCGCCGCGCTGGGCCTGAGAAACCTCCTGCACCCACTCAGAACGGCGGCGCCTGCAGGGAAACACGCCCACCCGAGATGCGATCTCAGTGGAAAGAGGAGTTGCCACCTCACCTGGGGCTCCATGTCACCGGCTCAGCGGCCAGCTGTCCTCTGGTTTTCGCTGCACAGGCGGCAGAGCTGGGGGAGGAGAAGGAAGACATGAGACCCCACTGCCAGGAGGTCCCGGTGCCTCGCCGGCCCAACCAGCAGAGGCAGGTGGCCCTGCCGAGACGCAGTGCGGGGCTCTCGGCTCCCCGGGTCCAGAGGCTCTGCCGTCTGGTGCGCTAAGACGCGCCGCACACCTCCGCCTCAGAGAAGAGGGAAAACCGCTGCGCTGCCCGCGTACAAGCCCGTGGCGCCGCACCCTGTCGACTCCCTCCCGATGCCCGGCTTGTGCCCCCGCGTGCCTCTACCTCCGGCACTGCTACCGCCACAAAGTCGCTCGTCCTCAGCGCGCTCCCAGGCAGCATCTCTCGGGCTCCACCCAGCAGCTGGCCCGCACCGTCCCACCGTTCGGCTCCTGGAGCACCACCCACCTCGCCCCAAATTAGCGTGTCTGCTCCGGGGTAGGTTCCCGGAGCACCAAGCTCGCCCCGGGACCTTGGACTGGTTCTGCGCGAAAATGGTCACGAGCAGAGAACTGGGCGCATATTTTGTGCCGGGCTCATCACTGCACGTACAGGGGCCGACGGCCGCCGCCTCGCCAATGCACCCCGACGGCCCCTGCGGCGGCGAACCGCGCGAGCACGCGGGGCGCAGAGCTACGTCCGGCTCTGCGGTCCTCACGGGCGCCCTCACGGGGGGCAGGAGGGGGGCCTCGCCGGAGGAAGTGCAGGGCGCCGTCTGGTGTTTCAGAAAAGCGGTAGCTGGAACCCTGCCCTCGCCAGTCACTGTTGGCTGCAGTTTCACTTGTTTATTTCGGCGAGTGCGTAAATCCCCCCTAAAACATCATTATGTGTATTTCACGGACAAATGACAGAATTAGGTTTAATTCCTCCATCTGGAACCTCCCTAAGGCCGAGGCCTCAGGGAAGCGGCCACCGCGAAAGCCAGCCTGGGGGTCCACGGGGCCGGGGCCGGGGCCGGGGCGGCTGCTCTGCGGGGCGAGGAGCCCCGTTCCCAGTGGGAACTGGACACCGCGCAGTGCGCGGCGGCCTCGGAGCGACTGCGATCGGAACAGAAACGGACTGGAAGCGGCGCCGGAGCGCTCGCCCCGGGGCCTCTCAGGCAGCAGGGACTCCCCGCGAAGATCCCCGGACCCAGGCGTGGAGGACGCCTGGGGGCGGAGGCCGCGCAGCCGGGCGTTAAAGCTCTAAGAGCGGAGCTCACTCACCCAACCCGGACCCTCGCTCGGGGAGGTCCCGTCCTGCATTCACCGGAAATTACGCCAGGGGGCGGGGCCTCAGCCGTGACTGGGCGGCTGGGAGAGGACAGCCGGAGGGGGCGGGGCCTGAGGGCGGGGAGGGGCCAGACGGAGAGGCCCTGGGCTGCGAGTGGTGCGGCCAGGGGGCGTGCCCTTGGGGGGGCGGGACCTGAGCCTCCGACCCTGCCCCCGGGCCCGGTTGGCCCCTCCTTCCCTCCTGCGCACCTCCAGTCTATGCGTCCGGGTTGCTTGGAGTTTCTTTGGCGCCATTGGCAACCGGGCTCCTTTCCCGACTTCAGTTTAAATGTTTAAGACAGTTCAAGGCAAGAGCTTGGAGCTGTGAGGCCATTTAAACCACTGACAAGTTGAAACGCTTTACGTCCACTGTCTGTCGCGCTGGAGACAAGCGTCCTGCGAGTGCCGGGGGCTGGACTGAGCCTCGGGGCGGGAAGCGCAGCGTCCGGGCAGCGGCGGGTCCCGAGCGCCTGCGGCTCCTGCACTTGGAAGGGGCCGTTCAACTGAGCAAGGCCCGAGCGGTCTGTGCTGAAGCCCGAGGCCGGGCGTGCGAGTGTCCCGAGCGCCCCGTCGCGATGTAGCCGTCCCGTAAGTCAGCCTTTGGGCCCCGCTCGGTCGTCCCATCCGGCCGCAAGAACCGAAAGCGCCGAGCGCCTGTACGGCCACCAGCCCTACCGGTGTCACCGGCACCGAGAGAGAACGGGGGCAACGCCGGTGGCTGTGCTGTTCGCTCGGATTTCATTAACGCAGATTTAATCCAAGTCTGTCCTAACCTACTAACAACAGGAGTTCCTCAGAGCCAATCGGTAAGAACGCCCATGAGAGAATGGGGGATAACGAGCCCGAGTCCCGCAGGCTCAGGCCGCAGGTCCGGGAGTCAGCGCGGCGGGCAAGGGGCCTCGGCGTCTGGCAAGGAAGGACCTCCAGAGCCAGCCGCGCAGCGAGCAGACGAAGTCCTCGGTCCGGCAGGGCAGAGCCTCCGGCGGCCAAGGCCCAGGGAGGCCAGCGTGGCGCGGAGCAGCGCCCTGGGGCGTAGAGCTCGGCTGTCTCCGCGGTGGTCCGGAGCCTGCCCCCCTGGACCTTGAAAGTGATGTCCTGCGCCCTTCTGGGTCCCTGATGGCGACTGGGGAGCTTCCCCAGGAGCCGATCTGCGGGTGGTTCCGCTGTGCAGAGGCGGCCGTTCTGGCCGCGTGTGCAGAGATCTTGGGCGTGTCTCCTTGCCGGGTGTGTCTAGTGTGACAGGTAGTTTCCCTCTTGGACCAAAGCATCCTGGCTGCCTGGCAGCCATCTTGGTCGACAGGAATGACTCCACTTTGTTTTTTATACTTTGTGCTTTCTTGACCGGACCAACGCCATTTTATTGGTCTTGCTCGCCACAGAAAGGCAGGACGGCGCCGGGGAACATGCCTTGTGTCTCTGTTCCCTGTTCCTGGTTCCCCAGCGACGCGGGTACAGCCCGCTCACATGTAACTGTTTCTGTTTCATACTTGCTAAAATGACTTGTAAATTCAAGGCCTTTGGGATGATTCCACAGGTGTGGATGCCATCTCATAAGTTGATTAAGTGATTACTTCCTAAATAGGTTGTAACTTCATCTTTTTCTTTATTCGCAGGGCTATTGGAAAGTGATACATTAAAAAAAAACCCAACGACACATTAAATAAAGCACAGCAAGACTTCATTCCCGGGTGGGACTGTCTCTGTAATTGGCATAGGGGCTGCTGCAAAGCGGACGGAGACTGGGCTCCACTGCACACGCCGCCAGAGAGCAGGCTGGAGAAGAGGAAATGTCAGGGCCGGGGGAGGGGGCGCGGGTGCTAAACTTAACCTTTGCAGTAAACCCTCACCGGGTCATCGTAAGAGGGAGACTAGGAAATAACCCTCACCACTCTCAGGAAAGCCCCTGACCCTGTGAGCCGGCTGGCACCCAGCCCCCGCCCAGCAAGCCCATGAAAGGGCGGCCGGAGTGTCCTCCTCTGAGGCCTTGCTTCCCAGTGATTGTGTCTGTTTGGCTCAAATACATTCTTGTAAATACAGGTTTGGGTGTCCCTCACCTCGGCATGGAGAGAAGCGACGCGAGCCGGGGGCCGTCCCAGGCCTGGCGCCCTCGCCTCAGACTCCTGAGTTCCCTGGAGCCCAGCCCCGCTCCCCTGCCGCCTGCACGGAGCCCCGCTGTTGCCTCGCTTCCGCCGGGTCCCAGCCCCAGGTCCCCACGCCGCCCCCAGCAGGCCAGCGCCCTTAGGAACAGAGCCGTCTCTGAGCAACACTGACTGGACAGCAAGGTGACCACGGCCCGGCGCTGGCCCCCAGACCAGGCGGGTGCGGCCTCAAAAATGGCGGCTCCACCCCAGCCGTTGGGAAAGCCTGTGTACCCACCAGCATGCACGTCCCGCTGTTTGGAGAAACGGGAGGACGCTGCCTCCCTGAGCCACGAGGGGGGCACGAGGCCCGGGTCCGCGCTCGCCCCCGAGCCGCCCTGGCTCTCTGCCCGCCCGTCTCCCCCACCCCCATCCGCTGCCCTGCCCTTCCTCCCTCCTGTACCTTTTCTTACCTTCTCATCTCTCTTTCTTTTTCTCCACAATTCATTACTCTTGCTTTCCTTCACATTATTTCAAGTCAAGTCACCTCAACTACCCAAAATCTGGAGTAAATCATTTATAAATGTCGATCGTTCAGTGTGGTTTTGTCTTCCTCTAGAGATCAGGTGTGTGTGATGCTTTGTGCGTCTCTCTGAATTACGAGAAGGCGCAGCAGCCTCCACACCTAAATTAAGGGACTTGACGTCGCTGTTTGGTCCTCAGCCGATGATTTGTTTCCACTGAGGTCACTGTCCCCTAATAGAAAATGGCTCCCACCGTTGGATCCAAGGGTTGGAAAGAGCCCGTGTCCAGGCATCGGGGGCCTGGTGCCCCGGGAGGCCTCTCCCGCGGCGGGGGCGCCGAGGTCTGGACACTGCCCGCCGGCCAGGCGTCCCTGAGCCACCGCAGGCGCCTTCTGGGCCCGGCCTGGGCGTCGGGCTCCGCCCGCCCCGTGGTGGGGGCGGGGCAGACCGGAGGGAGCAGCCCCCGTCCTCCGCGCAGGGCGCACACGGGAGCCCGTGCTGCGGCCAGGAGAGCGGGCGAGGGGGCACTGACGGCCGTGGGGGCGCCGGCCTCCCTCGCCGCCCTGCTCCCCTGGGAAGGGGCGTCCGGGGGTGGAGGTTGCCCGGGGCTCGCGGGGCGTGTAGCCCGACCTTCCCACGGGGCAGCGGGACACGGGGGACGCGGTGGGAGAGGTCACTTGTCCACGGCCACCCACGGAGGCGGAGGCCGAGGCCCAGCGTGCTTTCCTCTGTCCCGAGCCCCCTGGAGCCTGGTGGCAGGACTGTGGTGGGCGACGTTCCTCCTGGGCTCTGGCTCGAGGACCCCAGGAGTCCAGCGTCCGGTCCTGCCCTGGAGCCCCTCCTAAGCCAGGTCCGCCTGTCCGCAGGCCAGGCCGAGCGGAGGGCCCCGGGTCAGGCCCAGGACTGAGCCTTGGCGTCCAACAGGCTGCACTGGGAACCGAGCGCTGATTCTGAGACGGACGGCACCGAGACCCCAGCCCCCCAGAGGCCCCGTGAGGTCTTGGGGGCTGGGCTGCAGCCCGAGAGCCTCAGACTGGGTGCGGGGGGGTTGGGCTGGGTTGGGGGGGGGCCCAGCCTGGCCCATGGGCCCGTCCTCTCTGGCCGTCACTGCCCTCCTCCGAGGAAGCCGAGGAGTGGTCGTCGTGAGGGCGGCGTCAGGGCTCTGGGTCCTCTGCCCTTTCCTCCAGGCGGCCCTCGGTGTCCCTTCTTGGCCTGTGGCCTCCGAGGAACAAGTGGGCGTTGGGGTGCAGGACTGGGAGGGCGTCATCGGCCAAGCCTGGGCTTCTGGAGCTTGGCCCCGCCGGGTATTGGTATCCTGGATGACAGCCGGGAGCGGCAAGGACACGCTGGGGCACCATCCTGCGCTCCCAAGGCCTCACAGGCCACAGGGCAGTGGCCGCGGAGAGGAGGGGATGACAGGAACGGTGTCTGCTCTCCCCTCCCCACTCCCGTGCTCAAGAAGTGGCGCTCGACCCAGCAGGGACCGGCGGGCCTGTGGCAGCGAGGCGTCACTCCTTGAGACACGCTGGGAAAACACTTGTTGCCTGAGTGGCTGAAGGAATTAGAGAAACCTAGCAGCTTCCCCTTTTGTCTAAGCTCTGACCATGGGGAACGGCTGCTTGGAGCAAGAGACGGTGGCAGGGGCCTGGAGCGCCTTGACGGTGAGTCCACGCTGGCCCCCAGGCCTGCGGGACAGTGCGGAGAGAGGGCAGCTGCCTGGACAGCCAAACCTCAATTGGGGGTCGGGTGGGGGTCGTGCCCGGCACCTGTGAGCTGCTCCCCACTCCTGAGAAGACACCCCCAGCAGCCTCAGTGGCAGCTCCGCTGAGTGGCTTGGCCGTCCCTTCCCTTCTGCCTCGGGCGGCGCGGCTCCGCCCCCCCCCCCCCCCCCCCGGCCAGGACTCCCTCCAGCGGCCACACGCTCAGCGGCGGCAGGGCCCAGAGGCGCAGAGACGCAGGTGTCTCCCAGCGAGTCCCTCCGCTTAGGGAGCGTGGATCCCGACCTCTGCCTTGCGTGGTGGGGGCTGGGCGGGCCAGAGCGGGTCGCGTTGTTGCTCTTTTTTCATTGGGTGGCTGACAGTCTTCAGGGACTATCCTGTCTAAGATTGGCATATATTTAAGCACATTTTTAATATGCGGATCTGTATTTGGTCTAAGGACTCTGTTCTGTGTACTTCGTTCCCTAACACCTTTCTCCGTTTCCTCTGCTCCCCTGGGGAGTCCCTAGCGCCCCGGTACCCACGGGGGACCAGCAGCCGCGTGCTTCCACCTGGCAGATACTAACCTTCCTGTCACGAGGCCAGTGTCCAGGTCAGTAGAACCACAGTTGTCCTTCCACGGCCATCTTGCTTCTTCCAGAAGGTGGTTGCGTACCTGCAGTCTTGGTTAGTCTTCTGTG